GGCAAACCATTATCTTTCAAAGCTGCTATTGTGACGTCACTAATTGATCTGTCCGCTCTGATTCTATCCGGTGGTTTTAAATTAGTCCAATGCGGAATACTGTTTATGCATTGTTGTTTGGGACAAAAATAAAACATTGTTTCTGTTACGAAATTCTGTTCATAAAGGACATAGAGCCCTTTAACGTTGACGGCTAATTCATTTTTATTTTGTAATCTTCTACAAGCCCGGCATCTTGGTGCTGGTCCACTTTTCTTTTTCTTTTTCTAGAGTCCAGACTTGTTGGTTTTTACTCCGAGGGTCATTTGAAAGACGTTCCTGTATTATTTCTTTTCTAGTTTTGTTGGTGCCCTTTTTATACATCGGGGTTTGTGGAATAACTGAGTAGGAATTTCCAACAACTGCAAGGCCTCGTTATCAGTTAAAAACAGCTAATGCAACAGATTACTGTTCTCCGGCAGTCGACATATGTTAAGTAATGTCCATAATTTTACTATATGTTTACATAATTCTTTTCCAGAATTATTCACGAAACCTGCACAACCACGAGAGGGACTTTTTCCTATTTCTACTTTATGATTAGAATTTTTTCTCAGTTTTCTACGATGTTAGCCTTTTCCAGGCTCTTGGTAGTAGGGGACGAGCGAAAAAAAAAGGGCGAGAGAAAAACAAGGGAGGCCTCGTCCTCCCTCGTTTTTTCTCTCGTTCGTTTTCGCTCGTCCCTAACTACTGAGAGCCTACGATGTAGGCTTTTTTGTGGGCTGTGGAGAAGTCCATTGATTTTATCTTGAGCTCTTTCTTCTCTCGTTTTGCTGTTTGTAGCCTATCGATAAAGGTTTTACTACGAGTAGGTCGGTATCGTCCTTCTCGTTTTCTGGCAGACTTTGTCGTTTGACTGACACTAGCATTGTGACGATCATAGGGATTGGGGCTTCCAAGCGTATCATGTTCTCGAGAAGCTGATATATTAGAGCAGAGTTCTAAAAATTGAACTCTTCAACACTGAAACGTATCAGTGGCATCTGTCGCAGAGTGACAGACTGACGTATGTCCAGTACAGGGTAAAAGGCAGCCACCGCGCGGGGGAAAGGGTTGGGAGGGCTTTTGCGCCCCTTTTCACGAGATTCAAATTATGTCTTTCGCGATTTAGTCTCAGATATTCGTGCTGGTTTCTTTTTTATGATATGACGAATACATAGATATCAGAAGCAAGGAGCAATTAAAATTATTATCAAAATTATTATTACGTTTGTTAATTTTAGATTCATTTCCAGCCATTTCAGAGGACTTCAGAAGACTTCCCCACTCAAAAACCCACCGCGCGGAAAAGGGCGCACATAAACTAAAATTTTAAAATTTGTCATCCGCTTATTTTCAAGATATTGAAAATACGAAATATATATATTTTTAAATGTTTTTATAGCTATTGTTATCAGTTGTTACTGTTATTCTGGACCCGCGACAATTTACCCGCGACCCGCGACACGCGCCGATTAGATTATCTCCCGCTTACGAGAGCTTCGACTGTACCGCATAATTATACGAAAACTCTACAGTTTGACCTGACGTTACCTTAAAATATTCTCCCCTCTGTAACTAATTACTTACATACCTCACAATCCTGGAAGAGTACCAGACAATCCTGGTAGACACTTAGAAAACGCTTGGTTCGGCGGAATTACTTTGGAGGACAATCAACTCGCAGAACACAAAGTTTACCTCCTCGTCGTCGACGTGAGAGTCACATTGTAAGCACAGTCATAAGTTTACAGTTTATTTTCGGGGCCCAGTCTTCTCTGTGATTCAGCCCGCCGCACTTGGAGAGTGATTAACAATTTTTTTTCAGCGGTTTTCAAGCGAGACTGAGTCAAAAAATGATTCTCGTTTGGTTTATAATAATAATAATAATAATAATAATAATAATAATAATAATAATAATAATAAAAATAATAAAATAAATAGTCTTCTAGCTAGCCTTAAGCTTACTAATCGGGGACACATTAAAATATAAGTATAAAAACGATTCCTGTCTATTTACATTAAATTATACTACATTTTCACACACTCTTTGTATTTACATCTAATTCCTACAGNNATTAGCACACACGTCAGCAGCGTACACCCATGGGCAAATAGTAGACGCTAAATTAACCAATCAGAGCGCGCGCTTTGCTTTAGTTATGTTATAATTAAAGTTGGCGAAGAGCAACTTCTGGATAAATACTTCGTGTATAAGCGCGTGGAATCAAGTAACACTTCATGTAATGTACATCGAATTATAGCCTCTCTGAGTGGACGAGTCGAAACGACGAAACGACATAACGAAACGATGAAACGCCATGACGAAACGACGAAACGGCAAAACGACAAACGACGACGAACCAATGTGGTCAGTGATGAGTCGAAATCGTAAAACAATGAGTCGAAGAGGCCAGCCGACGAATCGAACTGACAAGATGACGAGACGAACTCATGAGACGATGAGTCGAATTCTGAACTGAAAACGGCGAGTCGAACTGGCAATTCGCCGAGTCGAACTCGGAAAACAACGAGTCGATTAGAAGGATCGGTGTGCGGAAACGATGAAATCTAAATTGATACTCGGTCAACACTTGATCGACATCTCAGTCAACAGGCAGTGGAGAGTCGACTAATTTTCGCAGACATGTCATCGAGTATCGATCAATACATATGAGTTGGTTGACACTGCCAACTATCGACCGACTGTCAATCGAGTGTTGATCGAGATGCCGATCTAGTGTTGACTGAGTTTTGATCTTGATGCATGTTGATCGAGTGTCGATGGAGAGTCCCTTGAGGGTCGATCGAGATTATCGATCGACACTTGACTGCAGATGCCTTTAGTACATTTAGTGATCTGCCTTTAGTGATCTGGTGGACAAACAAATGAGCGAAGATATTGAAATCAGCCACGATTAAAGTACAGTTTCCCCTTTATGAACTTCAGAATAATAATAATAATAATAATAATAATAATAATAACTTTATTTGAGTGTCTAGTCTTCTAGCTAGCCTTAAGCTTACTAATCGGGGACACCGTTAACGTGGTCTATTACTGAATGTCATTGCACTGATGGCTATTATCACACAAAAAAAGTCGGAAGCCATGATTATTGCGTCCCACAAAGCACTCAAAACCACCAGGGACATAGACATATTTTACGATTCAACATTAAACCAGCAGAGACATTTTACGTATCTTGGTGTAGTAGTAGACGAATCATTATCATGGAACAATCACATGTCATAGTATGTTGCCTCGAGAGTTTATCCTAAACTGAAACTTTTAAATAGAATTTCACCTTTCATTAGCCCTGCTATTTTATTGAAGATCTATAAAGTAACACTATTTTAGACTATGGCTGCACCGTATGGGGTTTTTGCAGCAAGAAGAACTCCGATTTTCTGGAAAGGTTGCAAAACAAAGCAATGCGAATAATTTTAAGAAAAAATCACATAACGTGCACACAGTCAATGAGGGAGAGACTTGGCCTGTTAACTTTACCTAACAGGCGCCGTTATGTACGTCTGCAATTAGTATATAAAATTGTAAATGATTATCACTGTCTCAGGTAACTTCAAGGGTATTTTGTACTGAGATCAGAACATTGTCGTAAGGCTCTGAGAGACAGTAGGGAACTACATCTCCCAAGATACAAAACAGCTATGGGGCAGTCAACCTTCGAGTATGCTGCGTATTCGTGAATTGAAGAGTTAAAAGAAATTGGTTATAGTATTATTTGTCTGTGTTTTCATATGAAAGTCACAGTAAACATTAGGTCATTTTGGTTTCGTTCGCAGAAGTGACACGTCCGAAGCAGAGAAATTCCCAACGGAAATGGAACATTTGGAGCACTAGTTTAACCCTGTTTCGGGTCAATTGCCAAAATACTGGGTCGGCCTTTTGGGTTCGAGCATTATGCTTTTGGGTTTGTTAACAAGTGAAATCGAATTTCCGACTATGTTGAAGACTAAGTTCGAATTCTCGTAATGTAAGAATGTAATGCAAAAATCTCCGCCGTTCACCCAGACAAGTACTATTCATCCGGGTATTTTCCTCGGAAATATAGACAAATAGTGTCTCTTTGCCGATTGACACAATTGCATCACGTGATCATTTTAAACCAATGAGAATCAGAGAAAATATAGTGGTGAACTATAAGCTGCGATAGTAAACCTGGTCGAATTAAGGGCTCTTGTCTGAAACAGCTTATACTGTAGTAATTCTGGGTAGCCTTGACGGGTGGTTTGGATGTTTTGCTTAGAACAAGTTCAAACATTTAAAGAAACCAATATTTATATATCTGCTATTTATTTGGGTCCATCTTTGAGATGATTCTGGCAAATTGGTCAACGGGTTTAAAATATATTCAAACAATAAATAAATTGGAAATTAGCTAGGATTGTTATCAAAATGATAGACTCACATTAATAAATTTTGCAGCTTGAGCCATTTCGCTCAAGACACTTCCTTCCCTATTAACTAGTAAATCAAATTTGTCAGACTTTTTAAGCTCTCCATCTTTCAAAACCAAAATCATGTCGCAATCTCCGATGTTCAAACGATGAGCTATAGTGATGACTGTGGAGTCCTTTAGTTTCTCACACACTACGTTCCAAATTGTCTGTTCTATTTCTGGGTCGACATGTGCAATAGGCTCATCCAAGATGACGATCTTGTTTTGCTGTAACAGCACACGAGCCAAACAAATTAACTGTCGTTCTCCTACACTGACATTTACTCCATGTTCTAACAGCTCGTGATCTAACTGTCCCTCTAGACTCTCTACCAACACTTTCAGTTGCACATCCTCTAAAGTTCGCCACAAATCTGCGTCTTGCAACTGTTCCAGGAGATCGAGATTTTTTCTCAGCAATCCACTAAACAAGACAGGGCTTTGGCCAAGAACGGGTTAACATCGTCGAGAGGTTAAGAGATCGCTATGTCACCTATAAATAGCTGCCTTTGCATTACACGTAGCTCTTTGGTATTGCACGTTATAATATTCTGTTTCTGCACAGTTCTATCCTCCACCTCTGTAGCACTTGCCCTTCTCTCCATCTTCACGATACTGAAAGGGTTGTGAAAACAAGCTCAAGGATAAAAGAATTATTGACCCTGGTTATCAGATCGAGTCATTCAGAAAATTATCAAATTTTAATAAGCATGAGAAGACAAGGAGCCATCTTAAATTTTCAAAACTTAAGGTGGCTCTGAACCCTATGTACAGATCTTTTAAAAAATGTGATTAGGTATAGGGTAGAGGTAAATCATTAACATGTATAAGTACCTATGGAAATTAGGTACAGGGCAGTTTGCGTGTTATTTCTTGTTAAGCTAGGATGGGCAAAGAAAAAGAGTATGAACGCAACGTGTTGCGCGCGTTTGGCCACCCAGTTGCGAAGTGTTGCGCAGTTTTGACGTTCTTTGTGTGCTCTTTTTCGGCGTAATAAAAGATCTGCCTGTTTCACCGACATTACTCCACGAACAATTGGCGCAAGGAATTTTGTAGAAAAATTCAGGTTCTGAGTGTTGAAACAGCAATTACAGAACATTCAGTCACATTACGCTTGACACCAGTCAACCGCAGTGTCGTTCTCTGTAAGAATTACAACCCTAAACAGACGAATTTAGTGGGGTCTGACGTTTGAAAACGTCCACCAATTGAGAGACGTTTTTTTGCTTATCGGTGAAGGTTGCTATTGATCGAGTCCCTTATTATCCCTTATCGTTTGACATGACCTTCAGTGAGAGAAATCTTCAAATGAAGGCATAATCGTTACACGACATTGTACTCGTTACTGTAAATTTCTACTTACGCTCACTTTCAGATAATGGAAGGCGTTGAAACCTTCATGTTAACTTTGGATTAGATATCGGGGCACGAATCATGTACGTTGTAAGTATTTAGTAACTTATGTTGTTGACGTGTCAAACTTTAGGATAACTGTTAGCAGGTTTTTAAATGGGAGAGTTCAGAGACCCAAACCAGCCGATTTAATTATTTAAGACGCTTTTCACCAGTAAAAATATAATTTTCGATTTTTTTTTCTGGATTTCCGGATGTCTGCACTTGCTTGCGAGAGTATATGGTCGCTTCACTCTCAAATACGAACAGTTCGACTGGAGTAGCAATAGTCCCTCTCTTTCCATTAATTTAGTCTAGTGAGCGGTTGTTTATATACATAGGCAAAATTGTTGAGAGGAATAATTTTATACCGTTAGGGAATTCGCAAGACCAATCGTTTGGAAAGGACAAGAATTGCGTATAAAACAGTGACATAGCTCTTCGAACCCTTGGCGACAGCCGCTTTTCAAAATCAGTTACTGACCGCCACCAAGTATGAATATACCTTGCATAGTATATTTTGTAATGAATTTTACTCTCTTAAAAGACCTCTTGCAATAGATACTGATATGTATCTACGATTTCGCGTCTTAGAGTATTGCGCGAATCCGTTAATATGGTCAGGTATGGTCAGCTCTTGAAGACCTGTTGTTATAACTCAGCTCACTCAGGATTCAATTAGTGATATCACATGCTGAGTTTGCTTCCAAATAACAGGTGAGCGTACCTTTTCGTAGTGATCGTTTTGTCCCTTCGTAAACCAAGTAATAGGATTTCTAGAATTGACATCTCTTAGCTTGTAGACTGGCTTTCTGTGTGTCAAAATACATTATAATGTGGTTTAAATGCTTGAATTTCGTGAATCAAACAGAAACAGGTTTAAATGAAAAAATCTTCTCTGGCACTGTCTTGTTTCTAGGGAACGGAGGACATTAATATTTTCTGCAAACAAAATCGAAAAAAAAAATTAACCAACCAGGGAGCTTAGAATTAATTACGTAAGCCAATTAAATAGCATCGCTACTGCACATACGTTGCCACGAAATGCTATTTCAGCCGTCTAACAACTTGGTGGGTTTAAGGTTACAGTATACCTTCAGGGGTGCCTCGCGTGCAAGCGATGTAGCGCGTGCAGTTTAAGCTGTAGATACCTAAACCACTATATCAAATTAAAGCTTATAGAGCTGGCTATCATACTATAGGTTCCAGGTATAACTAATCGATGATCAATGACATCAATTGGTAATCAATGAGTAATCGATGAGTAATCAGTTGATTAGTCATTGATTATTGGCGATGATCAATGAGTA